CACTCCTGTATAGACATTTAAAAATATACCAGAAATGTTATACACGGTGTAAGGGTGACATTAAAACAATATCAAAGATGGTTGACACCACTATAGTATGCTCCTCACTTAGCAGCAAATTAGTTTACAGCTGTGGTCTCAGGAACGGAACTCCATCTTTTAGTGAGGAGAGGCTGTATTATTATTACTGTCTAATTATTAGGGTCAGCACATTTGGGTGGGCATCAGCCAACCAGCTATGTGGTAGCTTGCCTTTTGGGTAACATGTGAGCCAATAGGAGGGCGGGGTCTGTGAGGGTAGCTTAGCAACCAATCAGCAATGAGGTTAAATTCTACTGTAGCATTTCAGCCAACATTAGAGTTTGTACTACAATTTGAAGCTATCACATGTGTTTCCCCGCACTAACTCTGGATTATCGACCTTCATAACTTCATTTGTTATATTTACACCATTTTTTGCATTGCCAAGTCATCATGGCCCCTGAAGTGCACACCTAAAAGGCCATTTCTCTGAAGATCAAGAAGAAATTAGTGCACTGGTGCATGAGTGTGGCTTTCCACAATCAACCACCATCTTTGCTATAATCAAGCAAATAGAAATAATGAAGAATATTAAAGTGAGTGATGAATCTAAGTTAATGAAAAAAGACAAGAGAAATTATCAGAGAGATGAAAAGACTGTTGTTATTGTGGATAAAAGAGAAGCAGATGAAGGGAGATATAGTGTGTGAAAGTCCAAGGTATAGTAAAAGTTGCACTTCTGTGGGTTTGGAACAAATTATAAAAAAAAAACATGTATTTTGGGGTCTGAGTTATGATAGTTTTGAGGCACGATACATCTTCTGGAATGGATTAATAGTGCAACTCAAGGTACCACTAACAACGAGTTTTCTAGGATGGTTTTTTAAGGTTTCATTAGCTGTTTCATGGTATCAATTGATACACTGTAAAATACACTAAAAATGAAGAGATGATATTGGTCAATTTCAAGACCAGAAGTAGCTTAAAATAGGAATCAAAGTAGAAATATTAGATTCCTAACAAATTTCTTAAATTCGTAAAGGGTAAAGTTTGCTACTTTCCATGGGTTTGTACGAGGTCTCTTTCAATGATTGATATGACCTAAACTATGGCTCATGATTCTTAGTTATATTTTATTATAAAAGAATTGGATAAAACATCCATTTTTTGTGCAATGATGGATTGAAAATGGAGGACAAGTGTAATAAAAGAAAAGCTTAAGGATGTGATTAATGAACAGAGGAAGTGTTCCTTTAGTGGTTGGAATGCCTACAGCATTTATTTTGGACTCTGGGTTTAATTTGAAATTCATTGAATTTTGTATAAAACTGATGAAATTACTATGCACTTCATACAGTTCTGATAGTTGAATGGGTGGTTTCTTGTGCTTAATCAACAGAATGAAAAGCATACAAACAAAATAACTAAGGATTTGGTGGAACTGAGCAATGGAAATCACTTAACCCTTTCAGGGTCAAGAGGCCCTCTCAAACTCGTTCTCAGGGTCGAAAATTTTTTTGGGGGAAAAAAAATTATTTTTTCTTATGAAATGATAGAGAATCTTTTCCCGATCATAATGACACCAAAATTATGAAATTTGATGGAAAACTTATGGAATTATGCTCTCACAAAGTTAGCGGTCTCAACAATGTTGATGCATCAGCGATTCCGTCCACTTTGAGCCCTATTTTCGGCCAATTTCAGTGTAATAGTTGACAAAAATCATCTCTATTTCGCTAGAACTCCATTTTTTTTATTGAATGAGTACAAGAAACCACCCATTTACCAATTTCAAGTAACCAATAAAGTGGTCAGAAATTCGCAATTTTGTCAATTTCACACAAATTTCACAAGATGCCAATTTCCAAATAGGGTCCAGAATAAGCAAGACAGACATTCCTGGCACTAAAATAACATTTTCTCTGTTCATAAGTCATGTCTTCAGGCCCCTCTTACATCTCTTTTGCTTTCCACTTTGAATTTTTATTCTCACAAAAAAATATAAGATTTATTGTTATGCAGACTACTGCATTAGTAAAGAAATGGTATAAATAATATCAGTGCACTTGTGAAAGAATATTAGACTCCCCAGTTGACGTGTATTAGACGCTTGGCATGATTTATTTACTTTTGAAATTTGATAAAAATCGAACATTTCTGCTACTTGAGTTCAATTTCAAGGTACTTTTCATTGTGAAACCATTCAAATTCATCTCAATTTCTGTAGTATGTCTTCCATTCTATAAAATGAGGCCAGAAAAACTTGAATACATCCATAAATACCATATGAAAATACAGTGCAAACTCGCTGTTTTAAACCAAAAACACGGTCGGAGTTTTTATTTTTTTCTCTCATTATGCACTGTGTGCTGCAGGATTTTTTTATACTGTGCACACTGACCACATAGACCCATTCTTTCATATGTAGGCCTACCAGCTTTCTCTCACTAGATTTGAAGGCACGTAAGCCGTACTAGTACGTCAGAAACCCCGAAAGGGTTAATAAGAGGAGTCAAAGTGGGTGAAATCACCAACGTGCAAAGTGCATTCAGACTGCCAATTTTGTGCTTCCATAATTCCTAAGTTTTCTGTCAATTTTCATATTTTTAGTATCAGTGCTTTCAGAAAAAGATTCTCTACCATTTTGGATTTTTTTTAAATCATGACACTGTCAGCCCAATAAAATTTGGGGCTTCTATCAGGGGTCTTGACAGTGAAAGGGTTAGTAACTGAAACAAACTAACGTTACATACAGTCATCAGCAACTTATCTACCAATCATCGTCTCTGTTTCAATGCTAATTTTATGAACACATGTGATCATTCATGATCAAACAGTGTTTACTACATTGAAGAGTTACCACATGCCTCCACCGGCCCTAATTCATCTCTTCTTCCACGTGACCAACTGTATGTTAGTCACGACTCTCAAAATCATAACAACACGATTGCAAACAAACCATGGAATGGGTGGAGTTTGAACCCACGACAAGTGACTTCTAAAACTCCAGGCCTGTGGCTTACACACTGCCTGGAGTTCTAGGACTCACTCACCATAAGTTAAACCCCATCTGTTCTGTGGCCTGTATGTCAGTATATCACATTTACATGGTTACCAGTGACATTCATAAGAAATAATAAACAAAAAAAAGGAAGACATTTAGGCATAAGAAAATTATTGAGCACACTCTAAATGAAATCGTATAACAAGATTTTTATTAAAAGTTTGTGAATCAAGCCAGAAAACAACAGGCAATGCAGGAAATCCACATATAATCAAATTTATTCACACGTTTCCCATAAATAAAAACACTGGGTAATCTAATTCCATGTACAAGAAACCCCATAAATTTGAAAGGTTTACACTGAGAAAAGTAACAAAAGATTTATAGTGGAATCAATAAAGAATAATTTGGGTTAATAGCTGTTTGTGAAAGCTGCTTATGTTTGTGCTAGCATCTCCCAGAATACAACTTGGTTTGTTTGCAATCATGTCATTACGATTTCATGAGTCAGACAACTTGGTTATCTTCTCACTTCCCAATGATCTGACCTGTCTTCTGTCTCACTTTTCTTACTCTCTTGCAACCTGTAATTTTATCCAAGGCTGGTTTTGAGGGTTCCTCTATCCTTGCAACCCAGCCTGAGATCAGGCTTCCCTGTGTCAAACAGGCAGTTAATGATAGCAGTTTGCATAACCATTACAACATAATTGGTCCAGAATTTGCACAAGAAAGCTAGTCAATATCATCTTAAAAACTTTACTCTTCATTCCAGTAATATTTATGATGTGTTGGTAATACACTGAAGAGTTTAGGACCAAGGATGCAGACACAGAGTTCTCTGATTGTAGCTGTGGCCCTTACTCTTCATTAGGTATTTTCCACGCTTTTTCCCATATCTTTCACTATAGTAAGTTATTATAACAGTTAAGTTAGGAACCAAGTCATCAGCTTGACAATGTGCAAAAATGAACATCAACACTGACCAGTTTAATTTCCAAAGTATATTGTTGTGTCGTTTGTCCAACTATGTACTTTCCCCTGTACCTGACCAATGCAGATCCCATGAATTAGTCTAAACATCATTTATCTTACAACATTTTTCCCCCTTTAACTGCTTCTTTAATAATGCTTGTATTACTTTCTGCAAGTGATAATTATTTCAGTACTTCTTACATTGACTCTTCCTTCTATCACTAGTGTACAGAATTATGCTTCTGATCTGACAGTACTGCTCATTTGAAAATGTATGAAAAAATCTGTGTGCGTGAATAAGCAGAAGAACTAGAACTTGAACCATATCCACATGGGTAGCACTGCACGAGTATAACCCTTGTGGTTGAATGGTTACAGTACTCAATTTGCTACATGCATGTATCATAGTTCAAGTTTGAGTGAAGTCTTCCGTTTATTCATCGACAGTTGTTAGTGTACGACACAAAGTTTCTTATAATGCACATATATTTTTGGTGCTTGCTTTTCCAGTTACTAATGCCACATCATCTATACAAGTAACATACATTTTTACAAATGTAGTCTTAAAAAAAGTAAAAAACTGCCTTGAAACATCAAACACAAATACTGTATAATGTTATGCCAGTACTAGTTTGTGGCAACAAGTATCCATCCATTAAACATCAACTGAAAAAATTTCCTCCATCATATATTTCATATCTTCAGTTTTTGGCTTAAGTGTTTCGAAAGTTTTATAATGAAAGTTACTTAAGAAAGCACTGCAAATATTGTACAAAAAACTGAAGATTTATATTATCTTCCTTATGGCTAACTTTTGCTCAATATTTATGAGACAGCCAAACAATTTACCTGGGTTGTTGGTTCTAATTTAACTTTAGACATGAATTACTTTAGTTACACCGTATTAAGAACGCTAATACAGTATAATAATATCAAAGGGTCCCAACTGAAGTCCCCGAGGATCAAAGTTGACAAACATGCCACATAGAAGAAAGAGATTCACCTGAGTTGCTTCCCTCAAGGTTACCTGAGAATCTGGTAAATCCTTGTTGACTTTCTTGATCTGTCTTCCTGACTCTCTCCGAGATGATATCTTGCCCATTTTTTCCCCTAACCCTTGTGAAAATGGGTCTAGAGTGGAGTTGCCAATCATTGGAGCCATAGCATCTGCTTTCCTCTTTACACCTTTCTGGAAAAAAAAAAAAATAAAAAATTTATCTATCTGTACGTATTTTAAATATACTGTACATCGAAACTTGTTAAGAGCCCACCTTAAAAAAATGACTCCATCATGAATATGACTATCCTTAGTTGGCAACTATCCATTCAAAAACAATCTCAACTAACCGGTGTGGGCAATTTCTACGAAAATCTATGGGAGTGAGAGTATTCATGGGAAAATGCAATACACCGAAGTATATTAGTATAGGCAATGCGACCAAGGTAGCCTTGGAACAGATACAGAATCAAACAATGAGGAAAAGCACTCAAGTGAATTTGTGAATAAGTAGAGTGCACATGGGTTTACAAACAATAGTTTACCATTTTCTAGTGTTCACTCACAAAATATTATAGTCACTGGATTAACAATTACAAATGTGCAAAACTAATGAAAAATCATCCGAATATAAAGAAAGATCAATTTCTCCTCATAGTGTGCCCCGTTTAATGACTATAATGTACTGTACAAAATTCCAGAGAAATGAATGTTACATTAAGCAAACTCAGTTTTCCCCATAGACCTCCACAAGTTCCAGGAAACAATATACTTAGCATCCAACTGCATTCATTTTCTCAATCATCAAATTAAAAACAACGTACTCACATGAGAAGTACCTTTTCTTGGGGAGATGCCGTGAATGTTATCGTGCTATATACGACTTTACCCAACCAATACAAGTTTTTAAAGGCTATATGGAGGTACATGTATAAACTGCACTAGTATAAAGGCTACGGAAAACCACAATGGAAGAAAAAAAGTTTACATTTCTTTACGACTTATGGTCGAGATGTTTTCAACAAATTTTGTTGAAAATAAGAAAAATTTTTCGAGTGAGATTAATAAGTGGAGAAAGCCTAGGGAACAAATCGATTTGATAGTTAAAAATAGGAGAGGAGAGTTATTAAATGGACAGTAAGAGGCATCGGGAAGATGGAGGGAATATTTTGAGGAATTGTTAAATGTTGTTGATAGGGAAGCTGTGATTTCGTGTATAGGGCAAGGAGGAATAACATCTTGTAGGAATAAGGAAGAACCAGTTCTGAGTGTCGGGGAAGTGCGAGAGGCAGTGGGTAGAGTGAAAGGGGGGTAAAGCAGCTGGGATTGGTGGGATAAAGTTAGAAATGTTAAAAGCAGGTGAAGATATAGTTTTGGAGTGGTTAATGTTTTTATTTAATAAATGTATGGAAGAGGGCAAGGTACCAAGGGATTGGCAAAGGCAAAGGGGACGAAAGAGAGATTAAAAATTATAGGAGAATAAGTCTATTGGTAACGTATGTAGGTAGGTTATTATGAAGAATTATGAAGTAAGATTGGAGAATCAGGATAGCGATGAATAGGAGGCTTTAGAAGGAAAGGTGTGTAGACCAGTTTATAGTGCAAACACATAGTGGACTGAAACATTGTCTTGCAAATGGCGTCCCTATTTGTAATTTGAAGTGAATTCAGAAGATAGGTGGATTGTAGTTTGGCAGGTTATGTAAAAGGAAATTAACCCTTTCTGAAGGAAATAAAACAAAAAGTACTAAAGTTGATGGAAAATTGACAACATTATGCTCTCACGAATTTTGTTGTGTCAGCGATATTTACGCATCAGCGATTTTCCCCACTTTTGACTCCCATTTTAGGCCAATTACATTATTCCACGTGACCAAATTCTTAGCTATTTCACTAGTATTACCTCTATTTTATCAACTGAGCACAAGAAACTGCCCAATCAACTATTTGAACTACCCAATCAAGTGCTCAGAAAATGGTAACTTGGCCAATTTCACACAAAGTTCAAAATATTCCAGTTTCAAAATAGGGTCCAGAAAAAAACAATGCAGGCATTCCAGCCACTAAAACAACATTTCCTTTGTTTATTAGTTACATTTCCTGGCTTCACAGATGAATTCCATTTTGATTTTTTAATTCACATAAGAATTTTTATTCACACCAAAAAATAGTAAATTTACTGTTATGCAATAGTATTGTAAAACAGTGGACTCGCAGATTACATCGTCAGATTTCGTAATATTTGGAGTAAGTAACACTTTTTGGTCAGAATACTGGCTTGGTGATCGTCACTGAACTTGGTAACAGTCATTCGTCCCGAACTCATCAGCACGGCAACAGCGGCCCGACACTCAGTGTGCCATTGTTCATTAGCCAGTGAGCACAATCCCATGCGCTCATGTGAAACATTTCGCATTATTCCATTCTTTTTAGTGCTTGCAACTGCTAAATAAGCCACCACGGGCCCAAAGGAAGTTCCTAGTGCCAGCCAGCCCTTTGGTAAAGGGCTGACAGGGGAGATGTACCTTTTTCAGTGATTCTACAATATGTATGATACTAAAGCAGCAGGAGTGAATAAAGGTTATAGTACTAGCCAGCGATAAAATGTAGCATTAACACTTTGAGGGTGGAGAGTCCCTCTCCCAAACTTGTTCTCAGGGTCGAAAAATACTCAAAAAAAATAATTAATTTTTCTTATGAAATGATAAGAGAATTTTTTTCCAATCATAATGACACCAAAAGCATGAAATTTGACGGAAAACTTGCGGAATTATGCTCTCACGAAGTTAACGGTCTCGAAGATATTTATGCATTTGCGATTTCGACCATTTCCCTAGAACTCCATTTGTTCTATCGCTAATGAACAGATAAAATTTTATTTTAGTGCCAAGAATTTGCCCATTTACCGATTTCAACTACCCAATAAAGTGGTCAGAAATTGGCAATCTGGGCAATTTCACACAAATTTCAAAAGATGTCTATTTCATAATAGGGTCCAGAATAAACACGACATTCATGGCACTAAAATAAAATTTTATCTGTTCATTAGTCATATCTCTAGACCCCTCTTACATTACTATTGCTTTCCATTTTGAATTTTTAGTCTCACAGAAAAAAGATGGTTTTCTGTTATGTATACTACTGCATCATTGTAAAAACGGTGTAAATGATGTCAGCGCACTTGTGAAAGAATATTAGACTCACCAGTTGATGTGTATTGGATGTGTGGAGTGATTTATTTACTCTTGAACATCGGCAAAAATCGATCATTTTCGCTACTTTGAGCTCAATTTCAAGGTACAGTGGACCCTCGTTTTTCGTAATTAATCTGTTCCAGAGAGCATGACTTTTACTGAAATTGACAATTTGCAAATCCATTTTCCCAATAAGAAATAATGTAAATCCAATTAATTTGTTCCAGACACCTAGAAGTATCAACAACAATTTTTTTTTCCTTAAAGATAGATTTACATGCACAAAAGAATGAACATTCAACATGACAGTTATTGAAGGCTGTTGTTTATGAATGGAAGACAGGGAGGAGGAGAGAGGGAAGAGAGGTTATTGTTTGGAAGGGGAATCCCCTCCATAAGGACCTAGGTCACTTCAGGGGTCACTTCCCTAGCTTAAATATAGATTTACATGCAGAAAAGAATGCCAAATAAATGTAAAGCACTAATAAAATGTATAAATGAACATTTAACATCACACTTACCTTTCATTGAAGACTTTTGATGGTGTATGGCATTCGGTGCAGAGAGAGGGGAGGCGAGTTTATTGTTGGAGAATATGACACTAATATCAACTCTACGGCTTATTTATCTATCACAATTCAACTTATGACATAATAAACATAGAAACATGGAATATACTCTAGAATGAATAAAGTAAGTCATTATGCATGTCACGAGAGGTGTTGTGTTGTTCTTGTTGGGTGTATAAGGGCCACAGAGTAATGGTGGTGAAGCAGCAGCTGAGGCGGCGGTGTTTTCTGTAGCCCTATATAACTCCAACAACATTGGAGGAGTTGGTAGAATGCTGAATCACTGAAGAAGGCACCCTCTACCACCATCACAACCACTAACACCCTCTACCACCATCACAACCACTACCACCATCACACCCACTACCACCCTCTACCACCTTCACTACCACCTTCTACTATCATAACTGCTACCACCATCACTACCACCCTCTACCACTATCACAACTGCTACCACTCTACTGCCACCACCTTCATATTTTTCTACAAACTCTTTCTTAAATTGTGTGTGTTTCTCACATTCTTTACCAAAGGGCAGGCACTAGAAGCTTTCTTTGGAGCCAAGGTGACTTATTTAGCAGATGCAAGCACGAAAACGAATGGAATATTATGAAACGTATCGTATGAACTCGTGGGATCATCCTCATTCACTGATAAACAATGGCACACTGGCTGGGAATGAACGTGTGAGGCAGCTCTGGGCTGTGTGTACACTTCCCAGATGAACGACTATTTGCAAGTCAAATGATGATTCGCGAGTCAATGTTTTGATGAAAATAATGTTATGATTTTCAAAAATTACGACTTTCGAGCCTTATGATTATCGAGGGTCCACTGTACATGTACATGTCATCGTGAAACCAATCAAAATCATCTCTATTTCTGTAATATATCTTCCATTCTATCAAATGAGACCAAGGAAAAGAGAATACAACCAAAAATACCATACGAAAATACACTAGAATGTCGCTGTTTTAAACAATAAACACGGTCAGTTTTTTCTCATTATGCACTGCGTGCTTCAGCACCTTTTTTTATGCTGCGCATACTGACCATACAGACCCATTCTTTCATATGTAGGCCCGCCAACTTTCTTCCACCAGATATGAAGGCGCTAGAATTTAGGCGTACAAGTATGTGACCGACCCTGGCTGCAATGACGTACTTGTACGTGACCAACCCTCAAAGGGTTAACAGTGTAGCAAGTAAGTTAACTCTTTGACTGTCGCAACCCCAAATCCTGAAGTGTCTCCTGGTATCACATAATTTAAAAAAAAAAAAATTATGAAATGATTAAGAATCTTTTCCCGATGATAATGACACAAAAGTACGAAATTTGGTGGAAAACTTACGGAATTACGCTCTCGTGTAGTTAGCGATGTCAGCGACATTTACGCATCAGCAATTTCACCCACTTTGAGCCCTATTT